GAATGAAGAGAGAGTTTTAATGTATGTGTGTGTATTCTGAACATTGTTCGTGTGTTGAAGGAGCAGAATGAGAGTGTATATATAGCACTTTAAGGAGTAAAACAAATAAGGTAAAGAATCATAGTTCAATCAATTAGGAGGAATTAATCAATCACAGAATCAATTCCCATAGAGGAATCCGGAATAGACCCATTAATTGGGGGGCAATCAATTAACGGTCACAACATGGGGTCTAATTAAGGTAAGGACTCAAAAACATTCCATGTAGGGAGTCAGTATAAATCCCAAAACCATATTGATAACCAATTGAGGAAAGTATGACCAATTAAAGTCACAAATAAAGAAAAATATAAAATTTCAGCACTAACAGGTCATTTATTCGGAATTATTCAGTAAAAGCTTCAAAGAATGCTGATTTTATAGGAAAGAGTTATTCAGATTCCCTAAAATAGAAATCAATTAAGCAAAAGAAAATCCCAAAGAATGCTGGAATTAACAGGAAGATCACTCAAATGCCTAAATAGAATCAGTTAATACGACTGATTCACAGACATAAACATAATAATTGAGGAAATCAATGTTACCATCAGATACATCTAGGGTTCGAGCATACATACGAAAATTAACCAATCACGTAAAGAGATTAGCAGATTAAACATTGAAAGTAGAAAAACCTCTTGAAGAGAAGTCTGGGAAGAACCTTAATTTGAAAAAACTTAAGGTTGATTGATAGTATAGGGGTCAAAGAACCCTTAAAGAAAATAGCTATGGAAACTTGAAAGTACTTCAAACATACAGAGATTCGAACAACATAAGTCAGAGAAATCAATGACCTAAAGTAGCGTAGTGCTAAAAATCATTTAGTAGTAGAGAAGTAAAAAGAACTTTAAAGAAATGCCATCAGAATTTGAAAATACTTCAGATACATAGAGGTTCAACCAACAAACAACAAGAAAACCAAATCCTAGTATAACAAAGCGCTCAAAAATCGGTTAATCAGTAAAGAAATTAGGGAACCTTAAGGAAAAACCAATGATGAACTCAAAATCGTTCCAGATCTACAAGGATCTGGACAGATTCAAGTCCAAACACAAGGTTTTTGAAGAAAAGAGAAAGGGAAAAGAGAATCTGGTCTCCGAATCAGATATTTGAATTGTAAAACATTGATAGAAAAGAACTAACAGACCATCAATGGACTCTCAGATGGTCTTGAACAAGATCTGGACTAGATCTCTTTGAGATTTTTCCATGAAACCACACAAACAAGCAACCAGGAGATGTATGAGACAGGCAGGGGTCTCAAACACCCATGAAAATCCATGGATCGAGTGAGGATCGGAAGGATTAGGGCTGGTTTTAGGTGGCGGCGGCTAGGGTTAGGTCTCGGTCTCAGAGAGAGTTTGAGAGATGAGGGAACGAAGGGCGGCGAAGTATGGTGGAAATGAATTAGGTTAGAAGGGGGTTGTTTGGGATTAAGAAAAAGGTAAGAAGTGATAATGATCGTTGATCTCTATGATCAACAGCTAGGATTTAATGGGTTTGGGGCCGGGTTTAATTTGGTTTGGGCCTGGGTGAATTGGGTTAGGGACCCGGTTTAACTGAATTGGGATTGGGGTTGAAATTGGGCTGTTTAATTAGGCTAGATCCTAGAATAAGAGGGCTATTTATTAAATGCCTATTTAATTGATAAAATAATTTTTTAAAATAACTAATAGATTATAAAAAAAAAATATTCATGCCTAGAAATGTTTTTAAAATAGTTACTTAATATTTTAAAAATGTAAAAGGCTATTTTCTGGTAAAATAATGTAATAATGCATGCATGGGCTATAATTGCAAGGTTATTGCAATTGTAATCAAAAGGTGTAAATCTGGCCATTTGTAAAATAATTTGAACTTAATATGGCTATAAATAGAAAAATTAAATCGATAAAATGTTATAGAGTCGTTTGTGATGCAATTTTGTAATCATTTATATAAATAAAATACTAGAATAAATTAGTTTAAAAAATATATAAATTATGAAAAAATATCAATTGACGCTAATGCATTGTATTGAAAGTATATATGCACTTTAAAATATTATATAAAAAAATTGGGTATCAACAGTCGTGCCATGATTATGAGAATTAATGCACGAAGGATGATGTCGTGCTATATTCTGTGAGTGTAAAAGCACGAAGGGTGATGTTGTGCCACATTATTGAGAGTAAAAGCACGAAGGGTGATGTCGTGCCACATTATTGAGAGTAAAAGTACGAAGCGTGATGTCGTGCAACATTATTGAGAGTAAAAGCACGAAGGGTGATGTCGTGCCACATTATTGAGAGTAAAAGTACGAAGCGTGATGTCGTGCAACATTATTGAGAGTAAAAGCACGAAGGGTGATGGTGTACCGTTTTTGTTGATTTCTATGGTAAGAACGATAGTAAAAACATGAAGGGTGATGCCGTGCACTTTTTGTTTGCTGTATTTATTTGTTGTTATCAATTCAAGTATTTTAACGGTTCAGAATTTCCTTACTGCTGTGATCCTTTGTGTTGGAACTCATAGTATTGTCAATACCTCGCTGTATTTATATATATATATATATATATATATATATATTTCAATACCTCAAAGTTCAATAATTTCACACATTTTTTATTCAATTAGTTTCTCAATTAAATTTCCTTAAATCGTCTGAGGTTGTAATCTACTTACAAAAAAAAAGGAACTTTTACTAAGTTGTAAATTATTAAATCCCATGGTAAAGGTAATTCATTCGATGTTGCATTTTAATTGAAAATGGTACTTTCTTTATTCAAATGATTTCTAAAAATAATTTATCTTTTCTTGTTGAGTTCCTAATTGGTTTAGAAGCGGTACTCTACTTCATGTTATGTAAATGAGACTCCTTGAACATTTTAAATTGTATAGGTTATGGACCCTATATACTGAGTAATATGAGAACGTTGTTGTGCAAGGTGAGACAGAAATATGTGGGCACAAGGTGCCGGGTGTGCCAAAGGTTTGGTAATTGAGGTTATGATATGAGACATCGAGTTTGAGATGGCTGGAATTTATGCATTAGAAATGATATGATTTATTGAGATGACATTGCCTTCCTTAATGAGTACCTATTTACTTGTCGGTGTTCCAGCTATGTTGGTGTTAATTTCCTTGGTTGTCTTTCATTTCCATCCGTGTGTCCTTTTATCGTTTCTACTAATTGTAGTTTGTTCTCTCCATGTTGTTGATGTTACTTTGTTATCTTTATATTAATAGTTTATTATCATGTCCCGTTCTATTTATTTGACCAGTAGGTGTCCGGACTGTTCCTCGTCACTACTCCACCAAGGTTAGTCTTGATACTTACTGGGCATCGTTGTGGTGTGCTCATACTACACTTCTGTATATTTTTTATGTACAGATCCAGGTATTTGATCGATAATAGCTGTACGGGTTGTTGCGGTGGAGAGTCAAGGTAAACTTGTTGTAGTGGTCCCAGGTCTCGGAGTCACCTTCAATTGTACTTATTTCCATATGTTCCTTTTGTTTCAGAATAGTGATGTATTAATTATGTATAACTACTCTTAGAAAGGCTTATGACTTGTACCACCGGTTTTGAGAATTGTAATTTGTTTAGAGTAATTTAATTTAAAGTTAGTAAATATTCATATTATTACAGAAAATGTTAGGCTTACTTAGTTTAGAGATTAGGTGCCATCACGACTCCTTTGGAGATATTTTGGATCGTGACAGTGATTTTGGTCCTCGCAATATCCAAATAAACAAATTTAACATTCAACTAGGTACTAACTGTATTTTGCGGAAACTTTCATAATCATACATGATATTAATTGTTAAACCATGAGGTGCTCTTTTAAGTCGTTTTGATACTTTGGATTTCTTATTTTCTGAGAAATAAAACCCTTAAATTTGTTAAAAGTTGTTAATAATAGAACTTCAAGTGCACAATTTATTCACTAAAGCTTAAATAAGGTACGTAGTTAGTTAAATATCATAAGACCTTAAGTCTAAAAGTTACTCCATGGACAAAACGAATGATTAGAAGTGCAATATCTCATCCGAAAAAGAAAACGTAACTATATCACCAGGTTTATTCTTGCTAGTGTTTGAATAGTATATATGTAGTATGTTCTATTAATTTAGTGTTCATTCAATTATACGATGTTATAAAAGCTAAAGAAGATCTTAATTATCCTTCCCTGATATATTATATACATAGAATTAGAAATCAAATCCATGCATATTGCCGGTTTTTGAACTCTAATAATAACTAATCATACTAACGTAACTTTACAGTGCCACTAAAATATCTGATGTCTTTCAAAAATTTACATTAAATTATTTGATGTCCTATATATGTGTAACAAGTGTGGGTGCAACAAATTCTTGCATTGTGACTTTCAATGTAAACTTATTATAATATACTCTAATATCGGAACAAATCAATTCATGCATGATATTTTATAGCAGATCGGACACCATCTCATCCTCCTTTAAAAAGCATTATTAGGACTTCTCAAAGTTGTTAATCTGCTTCTTTTCTTCGTTAAATTTATTCACAATTAATAAGAGATGCTTGTTTTGGAAGAAAAAGTAGTAAGTACTTCTCGACCTATTTTCAAGAAAGTTTGGCTAGAGAAGAAGATATTAAATGATAGTATGACTTAGCGGTTAATAAAAACCAAATGAAAAACATAAAAGATCAGCTTGAATCTTAAGCTCACAAGTAAAAATTATATGATTTTCTCTCATGAACACCATAATCTTGTGGTTTTAAGTAAAACTCTGGATTTGTTCCTTTTTTATGCTTTGCACACATGAAAAAGAAAAATCACTGCAGTTTCATTGTTTAATTAACATTTTATTTCTTAAGTCAAAATAATATTCAAATTATCTCTCATCTCATGACTCAATGTAAAAGTTAGCCCTAGTAATAAATTACATGCACGATGCCATAAACTAGGCTACGTACAGTTGCTGAGGCACTGTTGAATTAATCAAAAAGAATTTCTTTTCCATAACCGAAACATTGATTACAAAACTAAAATTACTCAAAATTGAGAGTGTCTCGATTATGTACAAAAATATACTGTATAGTATCCCGTGGTGGTTATAATATTTTTGAATTCCTGGCAGTTTCTAACAAGCCTGTCCTACCTTGCAACCAAGTGCCCCTGCAAACCTTGTAATCCAAGTGACTTGATCTGCTGGTGCTGCTGATATTCCATCGTAAAGATTTTGATGTTTCTTTGACCAATCAGGATCACCAGATTGAACAAAATATGCCCCATTCATGTATANCCCGATTAATTCAGATTCGCGACATATGAAGGGGCAAGTGCACAAATAGCCATTCTCAGCTATGCTATTTAGATATTAGAAAGTACTTATTTTGTCCGGAAATTTTAAATTAAAAATCTTATTTTCAAGACAATTTGGGATATTTTTGTCCTAAAAATTTGAATTAATTCAGGACGCACTGGCTAATTCTTAAATAGTAGCTCTTTAGAGTGGCTACCTGGTGTCATTTCTACACATATAAAACCTCTAAGATGGCTAATGAGATAATTTTCACCATATGGCCACTTTATAAATTTTGTCCATGTTAGCGCAGTGGGCTAACCTGGACAGAATTCAAACAATGGCCTCAAAATAAAGCGCTTTACCGCACTCACGATCCAGAAAGGTTAAATAGTGCAATTGGTTGAATACTGAATTACTTACCTAGAGGAGTAGGGATCAATTCCCACTTAATACTTCATTGTTTTTCTCCATTCTTTAGTGGTGAACACATGTTGGCTCGTAAAGGATCAAAAGTTTTGAAAATGAACAAATAAACAAACAAATAGAGGGGATAAATTACCTGCTTCTTGAAGATGTCAGGAGGAGCAATGAAACGATTACCCTGGCTAATAATGGTAGGATTTTTACTACCACCAATAGCATACATATTCCAGTGAGTATAGTCATTATTAACAACATGAATGTATCCCCATCTGCACCTCGGCATTCTCTGCACCAATCTCTTTCCAAAATGATTGAATGCTAGTGTAATTTGCATTTGTTGATCTATTGAAGAACTATCACTCGCACCAAACAACATCACCTCATTATGATCTGTGAAATGGCCATTTGATATGGTGATACCGGTGGATCCTTCAACAGCATCAATAATTCCATCATAGCAATTCCACATTGACACATGATCAATCCAAATATTGGACGCACCAAATATGGAAATGCCATCTCCATCACTCATTGTGCGTAGTCCAATATGGTCTACTGCATCTCTAACCATGCCACCATTTCCTTGGACAATGTCATGAATGTGTAGGCCATGGATAATCACGTTTTTTGTATACTGGATCATGATACCTGTCGAGATATAACATGAATATATAGGTAATAAAAAGTGTATCCTTTCAAATAATTTAAACTTTAAATGTGATAATCCACAATCAAGTATAATATATACCAGCGCCACCAGCAATGTGAACGTTAGCCCCACGAGCATCGATAGTTTTATCACTCTGCATGATCAACTCCTGGTGCAGCCTAATGGTCATTCCTCTATCAAATATGATCCACAATGGCTCCTTTTGAATAACAGCATGACGTAGGGTTCCTATTGTATTGCAGACATAATCAATTACATAAAAGTGTATTTTCTCTAATAGCTTAAACTATTTAATAAGATTATCAGACAATATAATACCTGGTTTTGGGTCGGTATAATCATCTGAAGAATCATTGACGACATAGAACCTGCCGGCCTTTCCGCCAGTGGCCTTGGATCCAAAGCCCATTGCACAATCTGCTAGCTTTTTCCTGTTGTCTGCCCAATTAGGGTCACATCTCCAGCACTTATCGATTGGATTTGTGACCATACAAGGGCCCGTGTATTTTTTAGTACCTAGCTCCCTTCTTGTGTCATTCTTTGGTATTACTTCACTTAATTCCTTCATAGCACTGCATGAAGAGGGTATATCTTAGCAGCATAAGGATCTATCTTTTGCTTAAACATGGGAGAAAATTTCAGGAGTTGTTGCATGAAAGTCAAACCATAAACAACCCAAGAAATTATACTGAACGTAATTAGCTTGATTAATAGTTTAATTTTCCATATTAATTAAAATCCTGAATTGATGTCATCAGATCCACATTCTTGGTCTTTTATATAATTATATTTGATTGTGTACCAAGTTTAAGGAAAAAAGATTTTTGTAACTTACGAAAAGTACATATAAAATTTGTAATCTTAATTTATGTGACTATAGAAGTATGCACGGGTCAAATCTAAAGTTAAAGTTGTAAATTTTTTAAACAATAGAAGGCGATGTTACAATATAGAAATTATTACATAGATAATTATTTCAGAGAGATAGAGGAACTTGACATACTCACGGACTTGTTTGTTAAATGCTAATGTGACATTTTCAGGTTCGCTCTCATAAGTTTGGAGAGCGACCTTTCTGGCTTCCTCTGCTCTCCTCCTCCACACTTCGTCGAACTCTCCAATATGAGCCAAGAAACTCGGAATTATTGCGGTAAATATGAAAAATAGAACGAAGAACGAATGCATCACCTTAGGTCCTTTCATTTTTATTTATATATTTATAGTTTTTTGCTTTTTCTTGTGTTAATGGTGGCCGGTCGGGGTCGAACCGTTGGCTCACCGGAGGTTCAGACCCTAGCTTGACCAACCACAACTATCTTTTTTATCTCAGTTAATCCTCTCTGTCTTAACAGAGAAAGATAAAATTTTCTTTTGGATTCTGGTAAAATATTGCTTAAATAGGAAGACTTCTCGGGACATTGGACATAGAATAATCGCAAAATGCTCACATCCATTATTTACTGAAGTGAACCACCAACACTAGTTCGTTTTTCAGTTTTCCTTAGTTACCTCTGGTCCAAAGATGCTGATAAGGCGATGACTATCAGCCAACGTTTGAAATTACAATACTTACTAGTAATATTTAGCAAGGGTGTGATTGAAGGATTAAATATTTATTTTCTGTTTCATTTTATAAGACACTATTACTACTTATAAAATCAAAAAAAAATAAAAAATCCTTTGACCATTTCTCAAGTAGTATCTTTTTTTGATTGTTTTACATTATTAACTGTTGTGACATATACAGTACATTTTATATAATTTTCAAGTATTTAAATTCTATTCAAAATTAAAGATGAAGGACATATGCTTTAATTCATGGACTAAACTTAGCAGCTCTATAGAATAACGAAACTTAGAAGAAGAGATGGCCGAACAAAAACTTCATGTAGGAAAGGGATAATAAATATAAGAGTGTCTTGCCTAATTCTCTAATTTGTATCTGAAAAGGTACATTATTGTTTTCAACACTATTGTTAATATTTACTCCTACATAGAGGGAAAGGTGTACAATATGTTAAAAGTTGTTTGGCTGAAGCTAATATATTGTATAATAGGTGTGTCGCAATGTGATTGCTCATTAAGCACTTGACATTGTGTTATGTATATCAATTTTTTTTTCCCTGAAAATACGCTCTTTTCATTTTCAAGGTTTAGTGAATCTACTGAATAGATCCTCATGTTTGGTCTAACCAATATTATAATTATAGTTATAGATGTTGAAGATTGTGTACGGGTAAGATCGGGGTAATGTCTACCCCGATTCCCCAATGAAAGAACGAGAGGGGAACACAGATCTGCGAGATTATAATTGGGGCCAGAGACTCGTCGAGATTCGGGAAGGATGACATCGGACGCGTTAAAACGACACATTCCGGACCGACTATGACTTCTAGATCTCGGAAGATGCGATGGATGGTTCTGTACGATTGATAAGGGGCCGCAATACTCGCCCTCAACTAGATATTACGGCGCGAATCTCGCTCCATATCGATTATGGATCAACAATTACCGGAAAAAGAAGATTTTTACCTTTTTTAGATTGTACTAATAGTCGTACATGCGCGATGCGCGGTCAATATTAAATAATATTAATTAAATTGAATTATGATTGAGCTTGTTTGAATATATTAGATCGTAGTGTTTTAATAAATTTAAATTTTCATCTTATTTGTCAATATGATATACCCAATAATAAAATTTCTATTAAATTAAAGCGACTTGTATAGTCATTCAATAACTTTTTTTTCTATATTTATGTTTATTATACTATCCAATATTTAGTATTTTTACGTTGTTAATAGAAATTTTTATTAGAATATTACTTTGTTTAATATTTTTGTCAACTACCTTCTTTTTGTAATATAATAGAAGATATATATTTTATTACTCTTGAAATATATTTTTATTTTAAATTTTAACCTATTATTCTCATAATATTATTTGAATTTTAATGAATATTGTCTCTATTAAATTAAAGAGACTTGTATAGTATTGAATAACTTTTTTGTTCTGGATTTTTCTTTAATATATTATCCATTATTTACTATTATTGCATTGTTAATAGAAACTTTTATTAGCATATTATTTTGTTTAATATTTTGGTCTACTACTTTCTTTTTACAATATAATAAAAGATATATATTTTATTACTCTTGAAATATTTTTTATTTTAAATTTTATGCTACTATTCTCGATATTATTGTCTGAATTTTAATGAATAAAATCTCTATTAAATTAAATAGACTTATATAGTCATTGAATAATTTTTTTGTTCTATATTTTTCTTTATTATATTATCCAATATTTAGTATTTTTACATTGTTAATAGAAAATTTTATTAGCATACTACTTTGTTTAATATTTTTGTCCGGTACTTTCTTTTTGTAATATAATAGAAGATATATATATTTTTTATTGCTCTTGAATTTTTTTTTTAAAATTTTATATATTATTCTCAATAATATTATCAGAATTTTCATGAATAAAATCTCTATTAAATTAATGAGAATTATATAGGGATCGAATAACTTTGTGTTCTGTATTTTTTCTTTATTGTACTATCCAAATTTAGTATTATTGCATTGTTAATAGAAACTTTAGTAGCATACTACTTTATATGTAATAGAAGATATATATTTTATTATTTTTTATTTTACTATATTTATCAATAATATTTTCTGAATAAATAAACTTTTTGTTTTTAATTTTTGTCTTTAAGTATAAAAATATTTTATTTTATTATTTTATAAACATTTGAATTCAAAAATAATAACCAATAATTAATTATTAACTACTTATGCCGTATGGTTTTTTTTCTAGGTTGTCACTTGACTTAAGGAGAGGGATTTTTCCTTTTCTTTTAATAATATATAGATATAGATATAGATATTTTCTGAATAAATAAACTTTTTATTTTTAATTTTTATTTTTTATTGTAAAATATTTTATTTTATTATTTATAGATATTTAAATTCAAAAACAATAACCAATAACTAATTATTAACTACTTATGCCATGTGATTTTTTTTAGGTTGCCACAAGGCTTAATGAGAGGGCTTTTTCTTGTCCTTCTAATAATATATAGATACAGATATTTTCTGAATAAATAAAAAATTTATTTTTTAATTTTCTTTTTTATTATAAAATATTTTATTTTATTGTTTTATAAATATTTAAATTCAAAAATAATAATTAATTATTAACTACTTATGCCATATGGTTTTTTTCTAGGTTGCCACTTGACTTAAGGAGATGACTTTCTCCTTTCCTTTTAATAATATATATACTAGGATTGAAACTCTTCTACTATATAAAAGGGAAGTTTTTCTTTAGTTTGACACATTGTAATACGCGATTCAAGGCAATAAGAGTTTATTTTTACCTTCTAGCTAATGTTCAGAATTTTGTTCATTTGTTTTGTTCTTCATTCATGACTGGGCTCGAACCGAGGGTCCAATCGAGGATGAGGTCATTGTTCAATCTAAGTTCATGCTTGGCCATAACATTGCAATTGGTTTTATCGTTTATTTCGTTTCTAATTCATTTATCTGATATTATTAATTATTCTTATCGAACTAAATCACGTATCCTTAAAACCGCGTACAAATTTAATTATTACCTAATTTTTGGGGTAAATAGTTTGAAGCCCACCATAAGACTAAGGATAATAGTGGTGATTTGAATCTCCATAACACACCCTATTTTACGCTTGTTCTTTGAAATCTTAATTTCAGGTCAGCCTAAAAATGTCAAACTCTCAATCTGCTCACTCGAACGTTGACGCTAAGTCTGGACATCACGGCAAAATTAATAATTTGGTGCCCAATAACGATGTGCTTCCTACCGATCCCGATGGTGTCCTAGCTGCCGACCAGGTCGATGCTAACTCGCAGGTGGCCATCAACATCAATTTTTCGGCTGATCTCGAAAGCAATGTTCGTGGGGGACCCTAACCAACAACTCAAGAAGTACCTAAGGGCGAAGGTGATGGGGTGAGCCTACATCTAATTTTCCAAATGTTGCGGGATCAACAAACGACAATAGCGCAGCTGCAAAATCAAAGCAATGCCCCTAACAATGTCGAGCTCGAACAATCCTGAAAAGACACTCGAAGAGACGAACATATTATCGAGAGACTGGGTGAAGCCGAGCCTGGGGTAAATCCCGAGGTAATGAAATGCTCGAAGCATTGACGAAATAGGTGGAGTCAGGTGAGAAAAAGATTGAGGCTAATGATAAAAAGGTGGAAACATACAACTCCAAGATCGATTAGATCCCAGGAGCAACCTTGATATTGAAGGGAGCGGATTCCAAATTTTTTATCCAGAAGCCTTTTTCCTCTAAGCGTGGCACCCAAGTCGATCCAAAAGAGGTTTTGTATGCCTGACATCCCAAAATATAATGGGACCACAGATCCAAATGAGCATGTGCCCTCCTATACATGCGCAATCAAGGGGAACGATTTGGAAGATGATGAAATCGAATCAGTGTTGCTAAAAATGTTTGGGGAGACTTTGTCCAAGGGGGCAATGATATGGTATCACAACTTGCCCCCAAACTCCATTAACTCGTTTCTATGCTTGCAGATGCTTTCGTAAAGGCCTATGTCGGGGCCATAAGTGTCGAGACCAAAAAGTCAGATCTTTTCAAGGTCAAACAGAGGGATAACGAGATGCTTAGGGAGTTCGTGTCGAGGTTGCAGATGGAGCGGATGGACTCGCCATTGGTTGCGGATGATTGGGCTGTTCAGGCATTCATGTAGGGGCTCGACCCTCGAAGTTCCTTGGCCTTTCAACAGCTAAAACAGAATTTGGTGGAGTACCTTAGTAACCTGGGCCGACATCCACAACAAGTACCAGTCAAAGATCAAGGTCGAGGAAAACCAACTCGGGGCCCCTTCTGGATATGTTTACCCTATCATGGCCGATGATAGATCTAAGAGAGCCATAGATCACGAGCCAAGAGTGATCAGAGATCTGTATCAACCATAAAGTGCGGATCGCAGGGGAAATGGATCTGGGCATCACCCTACAAGGAACGAGAAGAGAAACGATCGAGGGCCAAGTGGCCAAAGTCTAATGAGCTAGAATGGGTTTGACTGGCCGCTTGAGAGTATGGAAGCACAAAGATTGTTGAATTAAAACTTCAACGCGGATATTGCCAGCATCGTGTCAGCCATATGGGGCATCAAAGAGACCAAATGCCCCGACCATTGCACCTACCCAGAGAAATCTTAATTTTATGTGTAAATATCATGGCACTCACGGTCACAGGACCGAAGATTGCCGATAGTTAAGAGAAGAAGTTGCCCTGTTATTCAACAATGGGCACCTTCGAGAATTTCTGAGTGAGCGAGCC